ATTCTCCTCTCGGGATCTTGGGCACGCACGCACACGCGCCCAGCGTGAGTTTTAAGCCACCGGGTCCAGGACGCGCACTGCGGTTGACGATGTGGGAGTCCAGCGACATAGCCATTACGCTAACTGCTGGTTCCCAAATAAATAATTTTTTTAAAAAAATACATGCTAAAAAAATTCAAAAAGTACAAAAGAGTGTATGTACAGTGGACAAGTAGGCCTTCCTCTCATACTCCACATTGGTTCATTTCTCAGGCTTCCTTTCAGGCATATTCTATATATGTACCAACAATTTGCATGTGTGTATCATTTATTTTTCACTGTATAGGAGTGGAATCTAGGGACCAGCAGTTGGTGTAATGGCTATGTCGCTGGACTCCCATGTAACCGACCACGGTTCAAGTCCTGGACCCGGTGGCTTAAACTCACACCGGGTGCGTGTGCGTGAGTGGCCAAGATCCCGAGAGGAGAATGGAGGAGAAGGGATTGCGGCGTGGCCATCCCCCCGGGAGGTGATGTCTCGCTTTCTGTTTCTCTGTCTCTCTCTGTCTGGCAAGTGCACGTACCCTATAGCAAAAACCTCTCCAAAAACATAAAAAGGAGTGGAATCTAGTAGGGTGAGGTTATGATTACAGACTCTCCATGCAAAGTTCCTGAATACAAATCCAAACTCTGTCATTCCCAAACTATGTGAGTTGGGGCAAGTGATTTCACCTCCCTGTGCCTTAGTTTGCTAATTTGTGAAATCGGATGATAGCGCCTACCTCATGGACTTGTTTGAGAAATAAACAACTTAATACTTGTAAATCCCTTAGAATGGTGTTTGGCACACAATAAAATGCTAATTATTATAGTCATTTCTGCACTTTGCTTTTCTTTATTATATAACTTGTATAAAATATTAATATTTCAATATCATTTTTCTATTACATTGTCCTCATTTTTGCATCTTGCTTTTTTTCACCAACACCATATAATTTGGAGATCATTCTGGAGACACACGAGTGGGTGTCATGTCTTTTTTTAGAGAGATTTTTGCTAAAGGACGTGTGCTCATCAGAGAAATGAGAGACAAACAGAAAGTGAGAAATCACACCCCCCCTGGGGGGAGATGACCACACCACAGTCCCTTTTCTTCCAGTCTCCTCTTGGGATTTTGGGCACACATGCACATGCACCCGGCGTGAGTTTGAAGCCACCCTGTCCGGAACTCCAACCGCGGTTGACTCTGTGGGAGTCTGGCAATGTAACCACTATGCCATCTGCTGGTCTTGTCACATCCTTTTTTACACCTGCGGTGGCACCTCTAGGACACATGTCCCACAAATCATTTCAATATCCCCAGATGTGTAGGTGGCTTCCAGTCCTCTTGTTATTTATTTATATTTTCCATGATTGAAAGAGACAGAGACAGACAGCACCCCAACAAGGCCCCAATGCTGTACCCACTCCCAGCTTCAGCAAGCCAGCCCTAGGACTATAGGTACGACCTGCCTAAGGTACACAGGAAGGTCTCCAGACATGAAGCAGCAACCTTGCCTGTGGTTTAGCTCTGCAGTGTCGTGTGGTAGACACCGTGCCACCATCTGGCCCCCCGTCCCCGGTCTTTTGCTGGTAAAACAATGCTATAGAATACATTTTGTGTACCAAATGGTCAGCCCAGTGACAGAGCAGGGAATAGTTAGTTTGTGCATGGGTCTGGAGAAGAGCTCAAAGGGACTTACTGTGGTCTGAATGTGCCGCCCCCATTTCATGTGTTGGAATTTGGTTCAATGGCGAAGGTATTAAGAGGGGACAATCTGGGGACCGGCAAGTGGCATGGCGGTTAAAGGCGTTGGACTCCCACATGGATGACCACGGTTCAAGTCTTGAACCTGGAGACTTGCTTTCTCACTTCCTCTCTCTCCCTCTGTCTCTCTCTGTTCAAACTGGAAAATAATAGTGATAATAATAATACATAAAGTTAAATAAAATAATCCTTTAAAAATAAAAAGGAGATCATCTGGGGCCAGCAGATAGCATGGTGGTTAAGGTGCTGAATTCCCACATGGTCTGCTAAGGTCTGAGTCCCGTACCTGGCAGTTTGAAATACCCTGGGCATGTGTGCATGTGTACCCAAAATCCCAGGAGGAGAATAGAAGGGAAAGGATTCTGCATGTCCATCCTCCCTGGGATTTGATTCTCACTTTCTCTAGTGAGCACATGTGCCCTATGGCAACAACCTGAAAGGTGAGGCCTATGGGAAGTGAATAGGCTTCAGAGTGGGTCTCTGGTGTTGGAGTTCCAGTGGGTTTATCAGAGGAAATGAGTTACAGATGGCTCTGTTCTACTGTGCTCAAGCTCCTGTCCTCCAAAAGTTATTCACCAGCAAGAAGACCCTCATCAGATGTGGCCTCTGGATTTCGGATGTCCAAACTTTGAGCTTCTGTTTTTATAAATTACCGAGACTCAGGTAATTCTATTGTTTAACAACAGAAACAGACTAGAATGGTAATCAAATATCTCTGTGTGACTAGGCTAGGGACCACAGAGGTCTATGGGGAGACAAGAGACAAGTCACACAGGATGACGAGGATGAGTTTATGGTGGTTTTGGAAACAGCTAAGGAGGCTGGGTAGTACCCTAAAATGCTGGGGAGCCCAGGAAGTTTTAGAGCACTGGTTCTCAAGGTGTGGTGCCCAGGCCACAAGTATCAGCATCACCTGGGAACTTACTAGAAATACAAATCCTTGGATGTACTCCAGATCTCCTGCATCAAAAGCTCTAGGGGTGGAGTCTACCAGCCTATTTTAACTAGTCTTTAGGTGTGTCTAATGCATGATCAAGTTTGAAAAACACTGGTTTAAAATGAGTAGTTCATCAACAAGTCATGGCCTGAGTCATTTACTATTAACCACCAGAACACACAAGAAAATTGTTGAAAGAAAAAAGAACTAGAGCAAACAGCAAGACCCTGGCTTTTGACAGAAAGTGGATGAATATGAAAGATTTATTGATGAGTGAAGCAAGCAGGATATGAAGGGGAGACATTGTATGTCTCCATTTAATATATACCGCACTCTATGGCTGAAACTGAATGGCTAGAGGATACAGAAACATAGAAAACAGCTATAAATACCAGATACAGTGTGGGAAGAGGGTGGGTAAAGGAGAAGAGTCTAAGGAAAGACATTAAGGAGAAAAAAGATGTAAGACATTTATGGGACAAAGAAATAACCATTTGTGGGTTATTATCTGTTGAAGATAATGTGTATAGTATTCTCAACTGGACTGGTGAGAAATATATAGGTGTTGGAATATTCACTTAACAAGCGAAGTGACATATGTGATTGAGTGTATAAAAGAAATTGAAATAAAAAATATATTTAAAAAAATACTAGAGCAGAAAGTAATGGTACATGGGCCAGCAGGTGACATGGAACTTAGTTAAGACACCGGATTCCAACATTGCCAGCTTGGCAGGATGAGTCTTTGACCTGGCAGGTTGAAAAACATGCTGGGTGTGTGCTCATGCAAACTCCAAATCCTAAGAGAAGAATGGAAGAGAGGGGATTGCAGCGTGGTCATCCCCCTGGCATTTTATCTTATCGACACCCCACAACAACTGAGATGGCTGCCCTCCTCCAAGTTTTGTAAAGGACCGTCAGCGTTAGGAGGATTAAGTTATTCCCGCAAGGGCTCTAGGAGACCAAACTTTCAGGAGTACAATTTTGGGGGTGGCAGGAAAATACAGGCGGTGCCGGCTGCCAGAACCACCGACAGGAACGAACCGCAGCCCTCCCCAGCGCTAACATTGCCTCGAGCGCCCTCTGCCGTCCAGGCCCGGCGCGACCGGCTGCCCTCGGGTCCGCAAACCCGGAGCGGCGGTTGGAGACTCGCGTTACCATAGAC